GCGCCTATGTAAAAACCTTTTTCATTAATTTTAAGTGTTATTCCTGTTGGACAGTTACTCTTAAATATTCATATTCTCGATTATCCAGACCCTCACTTATCAGGACTATTTCATCTAGTCCCAATGAGTCTGGATAATGGAGGTTTGACTATAATTATTAAATTCTCAGAACTGAAACCATGCATTATCAATTCAGTTGATAAAAGCAAATTATCTTGTAGATAGATATATACTAGATAGATGGATGGATGATGGATGGAACCCTTTATTTTAATGTGGCACTTTATCAAATGAAAATATAAAGTGATAATAAAATTTGGTTTACATAAAATCCGTATGCAATACAAGTTATATATTTACTATTAGAAAGCTCAATGTTCTAGAACTAGTTTTACTGGTGCTCATAGTAGTAGTCCAGCTTACCCATAAACATTTTTAGCCAAGTTTCTTCTTTTAAACTGTTTGGAAAATCATTCCAGATTCTTGCTCCGGTAAAAGCAGAATTGTTTCTGTAAAAGTCTGTGTGACGTTTAGGGAGCGCAAGATTCATTCTGGAAGATCGCAGTCGATAATCATGAAAAGAGGCGCTATGGGCAAACATTTCAGACAGGTACAGGGGAGTGAGACCACTCAGATAGATAGATAGATAGATATAATTATACTTTAGATAGATAGATATAATTATACTTTAGATAGATAGATAGATACAGTTTATTTAGAGAGGGTGGCACGGAATAGTTGAAGTAACTAATAAACTTGTGGCCCTCTATTTAAAAAATTCTTACAAGCAATGTATAATGAATTCTAACATAGCTATCAATAAAAACTAGGAATATCTAGCTGATAACAAGATGAATTAAGAGTAAAAATAAAATGTAACTTGAGAGCAAATGATGAATCATATGTTAGACTATAAAAATAATGATGTTGTGGTCTGATCCCTTTTTTTCTGCAACGCTCAATCCCTGGATAGCCCCTTCACACCTCAGATCTCATTACTAATTCTCCTTACTGTCTGCAGTAAAATTCTTATGATGTTGGCTTAGAAAATTTGGAATCAGATCAACTACCGTAATAATCCCCTACTTGATATTTCTTTTTAATCTCATCACTTGTCTGCTTGACATTGTACTGATATTGTAAGGAGAAATTCTGTCTCGGTCACTCATGGAAGTTAAAGTTGAAGAGTTAGGTCTGCACTTGAACCAAGAAGCCCACATTTCTGCAACTTATTCTGTCTTTCTCACCCCAGTCTCTTCTCGCCCCAAGAATAAGTTATTCTTGGGACGAGAAGAGATTGGGGTAAGAAAGAGAGGACACAGCCATAGTCCACAGCAGTGTTATGTTAGTCTGCGATCCATTCTTGTCATTTTTACTATTAATAATAATAATTATGATACTTTTTTACTTACTTTCCACAAAACTGACTTGATGAAAAGGAGAATGTTTAGTACTCTCACTTCCCTTTTCATTCCTTTCTCCCTCAACACCAACACATCGAGTATTCTGGAACCCACTTGTTGGCCTAATTCTGACAACCTGTTTTTTTTTTTTTAACAAAAATCAACATCACTTACAATAATCCACAGCATTCCATACTATTTTTCCTAAAGTATCTCTGTGGGCCATAATCCTAAATCCTTGAATTTAATTGGCTAATTGTACACTCATAATTAGTCCAGATTTTCACAGAGCAGACCACTATCCAGAATCCTTTTGTGTGCCCATATAGAACAAAAACTATCTGCTAAGGGCCATACAAAACTCCCCCTCCCCCCCTCTCTCCTGCTGTCCCTGCTAACTAACATATAATTTTAACAGTAGTTAGGAGGTCTTTGTGTTTGTTTCTCAATCTTCACCCCTTAAGATCTTTAACAAATGGTGAACGCCATAGCGTGTACTATTTGAGTTATGGATGCATGCCAGAGGTTGCTAAGCACGAAAGAAGCTTAAGAGTCGCACAAGGCGATAGCCAAGTGCGACTCTAACTTCTTGAGTGCTTAGCAAACCTCTAGCATGCATCCATAACTCAAATAGGGTTCAAAGTTTGAAAGCAGAGGGATGTGATTTTCAGGGGGTAAATCGCTTGGGCGATTGTACCCTTTCAAAACAAGGCTTCCACCCTTGTCTTTATTTTATGCATTACATTAACGACGAACTCACACTTATTCAAAATCGCTAAAAAAAACACTTTTGAGGCAAAAGGACGACTATACACCACAGGTTAAGTAATTCAACGTTTATTTATCAATGATTTATGTACACAGTCAGCAATATATCACTATAGGTGAGGCAAACAGTAAATCTGGTACATTCACAATAAAAAAACAGTCGGCTACACAAACAGATTGTATGGGCCCCCTGTGCCATTAGTGGCGAGCCCTGCTTTCGAACAGAATATCGATCTTAATTCTGTCCAAGTCTGGAACCGGTAGATGCTAAATAAATTACATATCACAATCACTCAATTAACTACACAAGACTTCCATCGCAACAGACTCATAACAAAAAATTTTGATTTTTCTGCTCCTGGGGTACTGTTTTCACTCACTTGCTTTGAAGTTCCGGTACAGTGTGAACTCTGTTTTGGCAATACTGAACCATCTCCGAAAACAGCAAGCCAAAAGTCCTTACATTTATCTACAATAAAACACAGAGATTCTTGATAAAGTACGAAAAATAATCGATTATCCGATCACAAAGCGTATCATTTCAACCTCTGAATACCTCATTCCGTCCTTTACTGAGCGGTTTTTCAAGGATGTTTGTCGATCTACCTCTTCGGACTGACTCCATCTTGTTTTAGGCTTGGATGCTAAGATAGAAGGCTTGGATGCTAAGATAGAATAAAAAAATTATTACACAACTCGGGCAGTCAGAGGGCCAATAACTAAAATCAACCAATCAAAATGCTCTATTGCAGGTCAATATTCTCTCAGTATTGGACCAGGCACTGTCCCGAATGGTCCCGAATGATACCGCACTTGTGTCCCTTTGAACTTCAGTCGTATAATAAATCTCTTTTTAACCAAGCTTGCTGGGGACCATAGTGGAAGAATATTGGCCCTCTGTCTTTTTTGTACGGACCTCGGGCTGATATTCTCCCAGTACGGCCCTCGCGCTTGGTTAATAAGATATATGTAACCCTTACACTTTAAATCTTGCATAGTGTTAACCAGAGAATACACCTAAAGCCATTTTTAATGTCAGAGTGGCCAAACTCTATAAATCTGAAATCTGAAGATGTAACATGAGATTGCATCCCTCCCTCCACCCACCCACCCCTTCCAAAATTTTCTTGCAACTGTTTTTCTCAGTCTCTGACCACAAACTAAGGTTCCTTGTTAAAGTGAAAGTACATCACCAAAATTACAATAACCACGCTTGGACAGAAATCAGGTCTTTTTTGGATGGATTTGAAATTTATGTTGTTTGAAATTCTCCTAAAGGGAAAAAGGTATATTCAAATTTTCTTTTATTTGGGAGATTTAGGAAACTGAACAAGTGGTTCAAAAACATTTTTTCTTTATCCAGGAGGTAAAAAAGGTAAAGTCTGTTTACAAGCCAAGTGGTCCATCAGGCCAGTGCTTAACTCCAATTTCTGTAACATGAAGTGACTAGGAGTATTCCTACCCCCCCCCCTCTTCCTGAATGGGATGCTGGTTCATTGTAGGATTATCCTCCAGCACTAAATTTGCCAGTACCCATTTAAACACCTAGTAGATGAAGAGAGGCATTGGGAGAGTAAGTTGTCTTGTCTAAGAATGCTACACAATGTCCCCCATCTGGGCTCAAACCCAGACTGATAGATGCAGAGTCAAATGCTCTAACCATGAGGACACCATGCCTCCAGGAGACTCCCTCATATTGGGGGAGAGTTGACATACACATGGTGGCCACTATTAATTCTTGATATGCTTTTATATCATGATCTTATACAAGCTGCATTAAAGGAAAGCTGGTTGAAGTTAATGAAGAACTGGTCACAAAGCCGCAACTCTTGTTAGAAAAGGTTTGGCACTTACAAATCTATAAATATATCAACTCATGTTAATAAAGAGAGGAGAGATTTTTTGAGAGTTCTTAATTGTGTAGTGGTAAGAATCTTAGGCTTCCTGATTGCTCCACAAACTGCCCAAGTGCATTTTTAAAACCCCTTCATCTCATAAGTATTTCTCCTTATCTTTTACAATACAATTCTTACGATGTTGGTTTGGAAAATTCGGTATTGGCTCTAATTATAAAATCTCCTTATTGATATTTTTCTTTATTCTCATCACTTGTCTGCCTAATATTGTATTTAATATTGTGTAGTAAGGACAAATTCTGCCTTGATCACTTGTCTGTCCAACCTTTAATAACCTTGCTTTTGCCTGCTAAAAATGTGAATCAATTGTACTCTCATGGCTCAATATTAACTTTTCAACTTACTAGCCAAGTGGCTTGTGACAACTTAGATGTTACAACAATTTCAGTTTGTTTACTAGCCAAACTGGCCAGGGAAAATTGAAAACCACTTGCCAAAACTGAATCTCTACTAGTCTGTGGCTAGTTGGCTACCGTAAGTGTTGAGCCCTAACTGTAGCCTGTCACATTTCTTGTGCAGCAAATGAAAATGTGTAACCTAAATCTTGTCTGAGTTCATGGCCCTGATTATGCTTCCAGCATCTGAAATATAAACTTATTGACAGACACTTGTACATCCGCGCTAAAGATTTATGATAATTTGTTCTGCTTCAATTTTTTCTTATTTTGGCTTTTAGCCAGAAACTGAAGGCTACCTTGCTGTAGTCCTTCCAAAACTTACTGAGAATATTCTTGATGGACTCTTGACAAAAGAAGAATATGAAAACCTTCTAGAGGACAGAGAAGGACAAAATGGTATGAGATAAACAATTTTTTCTATTTTGTTGGCATTTTTAGGTGAAGAAAATCATCGCTTGATTTCAAGGCCTAACCCTCTTACCTGAAGAGTGACGGGGGAGGGGAATATGCGGCGCAGTTGATTTCTATAGTAGTGAGATTTGATAGGAGCAGTGCTTTTAGGCTAATCTTGGCCAGACGTTCGGTTAAATAGTGAAAAATTAGCTTTTTAAAAGATCAGAGATCGATTGCAAATTCTGGTGAACAAGCATTTTAAAGGTTTCGGTGTTGTTGTGCCGGCAGGTTGTGCCAAAGCTACGGGCCTATAGTCAGCCTATTGTATCAACTTTGTGCAATTGGAGTGTGTGACAGTCGGGGAAGATGGTTACAGCGGTTGTCTCGCTTTGAGTGAAAATGGTAGGATGAAGAGCAGTCGGATAGAATAACTCAAGGCGTGATGGATAAGATTGCATTCCTCAACGGTCTTATCGACAATACGTTGATGATTCAAGAAACGATTAGTGTGAGAGAGATGTAACCTGTAATAAAGCTACAATAGAGAAGATATTTGTTAGCAAACATTGTGAATAACTGTTTTCATCGATCACGGGAAAATGACATCCGTCGGGGAATGAATTAGCGGCTGTACCCTCGTTTTACTGTAGAGCGGGAAAGGAATTTACCGCATTACCTCGAATAAGCGTCCTCCCCCTCCCCCCTTTCAAAGAAGCAAAAGTGGAATCAGTGTAGGAGAGTAGTTTCTTTTCCGTTCCAGTTATTTCTGGCTTCATGGCTTGCAGAGTTCCTTTATTTAAATTTTTGTCTTATTACTGCGCTAATTCAGAAACGCCTCGATTAAGCCGAAAGATTGAATAAACGTCAGAGCGTTAATTCGAGAAATTACCGTACGGTATATCGGTGCCTTTATTCAGTATTACTAATTAAAGAGTAACTAAAGAAGGGATTGAACTTCGCGAACACGATGGGTAAAATTAAAAATTTTAACTAATTTAAACAAGAGCATCAAACTAAGCAATTGCAATCACTTACCAAGATGACTGGACATAAAAAATCTAATTCCTATCCTCCACCCCAGATACTGCTGACATTAAATTTCGCAACATACGAGTAAGGTAAATAAAACCAGTGATTTACAAACGATGGGCGTGTTTTGTGTTTTATTTTTGTACTTTTGATAGCCCACCGAAACCATCGCAATAAACTGTTTCTCTTTTTAATCTAAAAGAATTTTAAAATTTTCACGCAAACTGGACTTCGATGAGTTTTTTTTAGATCATTACACGTGGTTGTATGGCTTTCAAATGACAGAAAAGCTTGTAACCACTGTATTTACAATACTTTTAGCTTCCGATGGCAATTAATTGTTATGTTTATTATCTTGGGCACTGTTTTAAAGCTTTCACTCGTTTGCTACATTGATATCTCGTAATATAGATACGGTGATGGTTACGGCAGGTGACGAGAATGAACTCTTATTCATGTTGCATTTCATATAGTTCTCAAAACAGTGCCACAGTAAAAAGGCAAAAATAATTTGTCCACAGTAAATAGGGGAGTCGAGGGTTTCAATGACCGAAAGAAGAAGCAAGGAATTCAAATTCTGTCTAGGTCGTGCCTAATCTCTTCTCTCCACTGAAGCTCCCTTCATTCCAAGAGGGACTGCACAGACTACCAGCAGCTCATTTGCGCACTTTCAGTTTAAAACGCTTTAAAAAGGTTAAACCCGGAATGCAACGCGAAAGACAACGTTTTGCGTCTCGAGTAGCTTTGTTACTAATGCGCGCGAGAACTGACGTCACAAAGCTCGTATAAGGTTATTGTAGCGAGTTGGGACGAGGTGAAATACTCTAAACGACAACAGCAACGATGGGTTTTAAGGCGCTGAAAGCGCTTGAAATCATATATACATACAAATGTTAATCGACCACTCCCCAAGGGGGCTTTTCAGGGCCAACTCCCACCCAGCAACCACTCTAGGGGAGGACATCCATCACACAGTAATCTCGTGCGTGGGAAATTGACGTCTCCTACCCCTAACCCTGCAGGAGACGAGACCTCCATTTATTCGTCCCATCCGAGAAGACCAGAGTATCTAACTATTTCTTAATATAGAAAGGTAGCATATTCTTCTCACTTGTTTTAAGACCTTGAGTGTCGGCCCGGCCGGGGCTCGAACCCTCGACCTCCCGCAAAACAGTCCAGCGCTCTATCCCTTGAGCTAACTGGGAGGCGGTTGAATCCTTGAATCCTTGAGAAGCCAGAAGCCATATTTAACCGGAGGCTTCAGTGTAACCCATATTATTAAAAACTGGATCATTGGATAATGCAATTCAAGACTTTTTATTGGCTTAGCCATTATGATATATCAGCCAATATACCATAATCTACAAATATGGTAAGCGTACGCATCACCTTAAAATCAAAAGGGAGCTAAAAAATCCAGTTTCTTCTTACAAAATAATAATTTCTTGGGGGCGTTGTTAATAAAACAATTATTCCACTCGCGCTTGTTGAATATGAGATGATTATAGCCAACTCGGCGCTACGCGCCTCGTTGGCTATCTATCATCTCATATCCAACGCGCGCTCGTGGAATAATTGTTAATTATCCGTTTAAAATGGTTGAAGGAAACAGTAAGTGAAATTAGCGTTTATCCCTCTGAAAGTGCGAGTGTAAGAATCGGTAAGCTGGCTTAAATAGGGCTAAAAATACCTCACCGGCAAAACTTTAGATTAAGCTTGGTGCGTTAACTCAAAGTGTGATGTAAAGATCCAATAACTAATTTAAACAAGAGCATCAAACTAAGCAATTGCAATCACTTACCAAGATGACTGGACATAGAAAATCTAATTCCTATCCTCCACCCCAAATAATGCTTAAGACGATTACTGACTTTAAATTTCGCAACATACGAGTAAGGTAAATAAAACCAGTGATTTACAAACGATGGGCGTGTTTTTTGTTTTATTTTTGTACTTTTAATAGCCCACCGAAACCATCACAATAAACTGTTTCTCTTTTTAATCTAAAAAAAATTTTCAATTTTCACGCAAACTGGACTTCGATGAGTTTTTTTTTAGATCAATACACGTTGTTGTATGGCTTTCAAATGACAGAAAAGCTTCGGTAACCACTGTATTTAGCGTACCTTTAGCTTCCGGTGGCAATTAATTGTTATGTTTATTATCTTGGGCACTGTTTTAAAGCTTTCACTCGTTTGCTACATTGATATCTCGTAAAACAGAGACGGTGATGGTTACGGCTGGTGACGAGAATGAACTCCTATTCAAGTTGCATTTCGTATACTTCTCAAAACAGTGCCACAGTAAAAAGGCCAAAATAAGTTGTCCACAGTAAATAGGGGAGTCGAGGGTTTCAATGACCGAAAGAAGAGGCAAGGAATTCAAACTCTGTCTAGGCCGTGCCTAATCTCTTCTCTCCACTGAAGCTCCCTTCATTCCGAGAGGGACTGCACAGACTACCAGCAGCTAATTTGCGAACTTTCAGTTTAAAACGCTTTAAAAAGGTTAAACTCGGAATGCAACGCGAAAGACAACGTCTTGCATCTTGTAGCTTTGTTACTAATGCGCGCGAGAACTGACGTCACAAAGCTCGTATGAGGTTATTGTAGCGAGTTGGGACGAGGTGAAATACTCTAAACGGCAACAGCAACGATGGGTTTAAAAAAGGCGCTGAAAGCGCTTGAAATCCTTGAGAAGCCAGAAGCCATATTTAACCGGAGGTTTCAGTGTAACCCATATTATCCGTTTAAAATGGTTGAAGGAAACAGTAAGTGAAATTAGCGTTTATCCCTCTGAAAGTGCGAGTGTAAGAATCGGTAAGCTGGCTTAAATAGGGCTAAAAATACCTCACCGGCAAAACTTTAGATTAAGCTTGGTGCGTTAACTCAAAGTGTGATGTAAAGATCCAATATACTCTCAGCTCTTTCTTATCCTTTTCCGTTTTTCTTTTTTTTTGTGTGTGTTTTGTTTTGTTTTGTTTTTTTGTTTCTTTCTGTACAACGTTAAGAGCCTATTTATGCAATCAAAATTACCGGTTAGCAACTTACTTTTTCAAGGAGGACGAACGCAGTTTTGTAACTGACTCTCACTTCCTTTTTTCATTACTTATTTACGGTAGTATGCAACGGGTGTTTTTTTTCTTTTCGATCAACGATTAATTTTCCTGTTTATGGAAGAGACAATAGGAATAACTTTTCTTCAAGGGTGAAAAGCATTCTGGGATGTGTAATGACTTTTTTGATTGTGCCCTGTGATTGACGTAGAAATCACTGGTTTCATTTCACAAACTAATTGGTACTTCTCTCAACTTGATCGACCTCATCTATTTGATCGTGCCAAATTAGCCAGCTGCAACTGATTCAAAGTTTTTATCAATTGGCAGAGCTCGTTGTTATTCTGAGTAGAAAACGATTTTACATTGGAACAGTAACGGCTTTCGTTTCCATGGTTACACTGATTGCTTGGGGAATTGTACGGGAGGCCAATATAAGTTTGTTTCGGTAGTGAAGGAAAGCTAATCGAATATCTACGAAAGCAAAGAAGAGAGAGGTATAAGTTTACTGAAATCCTGCTTTAATTTACGGAAAAAAATTGATCACTTCAAACGTCTCATCGATAATAACTATGCATAATTAAAAAGAGATGATCCACTCGATCAGCTAAAATGGAAAATTACTCCTTGTAAATATCAATCATATCTGTTTCTTACATTATGACCCCAGTTAAACTTAGTTGAAAATATCCAACTTTTTCGTCTGTTCTCGATTTTTTTACGAGCCTGTTGGACATAATGGGTCCATTTTTTTAACATTAACTGATAAATTCTTCAATAATTTTTTTCTCACTTTTACCAAAGGTAGTTCAAATAGCTCAAACCTTGCCAACTTGAAGAAAAAAATGCAATTATGACTCCGATTAAAAAAAAGTTGAGGTTAAATTCAATTTGCTAGGTCTTTTCCGGACGAACCCTCGGCAAGACTTATATACAAATGTCCCATGAAAAGTGTTTTTCTTCATTTATACCAAGTGAAGTTCAAGGGGCAGCAAAAATACCAATCACTTAAGTTACATAAGTCAGATTATGTAACCACTGCAGGGTAACTGCTTAACTACTGTCTTGGGAGAAGCATTTTATGAAAAGAAAAATTCTAATTTCTCTCGAAATTCATTTTTAGAGACTAATTGTATGTTATATATAAATGTGAAACCGTTCATGATCAGCAATAGAATTAACTAAAAGCTCTGCTGAATGTTCCCTTTAGGCTTCATGCTTCATTCCTCTTCCAATTCGTCCTTCCTAAACCAACAAAAAGAAACAGGCATAAAATAAACAAAACAAAATATCTGTAGATCTATAATGAATAAGAAGTAAATAGATCAAAAATTCTTTAGCCAAAATCATTACCAAACCGTCATCTTCGGACTAAAGTTTTAAATGGTCATTCTGATAGTGTTAAAACGTTCACTTCCCATGTCTCAACTCAATTTCCTTAAACGTTATTTGGCACTCTCGAGCCAATCTATTTCGCTTCCGTCATCTACACAAGAGTAAAAAGATTTTTTTAACATTTCAATAATCAAAGCGTACACGCCCACACACAAGTTCTGGTCATCTTAGCTTGAACCACCTTCTGTAGGGTGTGAAATGCTGGTGGTATCACTTGGGAATATAACTAACCTTTCTTCCTTAAAGTTAAATGTCACGTTGTCTCCAATCAGCATGAACGGAGCCCACTGGGAAACTTTGGTGTAGCCGATTTTCCTCAGCCTCTTCATGGCCTGGTGAAGACATTCACTGGCACTAAATCCGTCGACAAGGTGTCTGTAGAAATGCCTCATGAACTGCTCTGTTGCCTCGTCCTCTATGGCCCACAGTGTCACCAGCACTGAACGTGCACCGGATGCCAAAAACGCGCGAGCTATTCCAATGATTCCCTCGACTTTGATCTCTCCACGCCCACTGTGACAGCAGCTGAGCACTACAAGCTTGGCTCGTACTTTAACCTGTAAAATATCAGAGGTCCTCAAAAGGTAGTCTTTTTCTTCTGAGATATTACTCGTAGCAGGGCTAGGGGAAAGGGCAATCTCGCCTCTGTCGGCTTTACCATGAGCAGCAATATGAATCAGACTCACTGAACTTATTTCTTGAAGTACCGCCTCTCTTGTGGCACGCTCTCCTAACAATGGCTGAACACCCAACAGTTGCCCGATCATCTTTGCTTCCTTTTCCGCACAGGCCAGTGGTATGAAGTCATGGATATCTCCCCTGTAACGCGCCCTGCCCACCTTGGGATTTCCCACAACCAGTGCACCTGTCTGACTGTGATAATCTACTGGGCAGTCCTGAATGAGCTTTAAAGTCGTCAAAGAAGGGACGATGCGGAGCCTGAAGGTCTCTGATAAAGACTTTCCGCCTGGTTGGTCGCGTAAGGCTGCAAATGGGACTCGATACAAGCTACGTTCGGGAACAATGATGATTTCTGGCTCGGTGAGTAGGTCTGCCACTGGAGCGATGATCAGTTTGAAGCATACAGAAAGCATTCTTTCAGTGTCTTCAGCTTGTTCGCCTCTCAAATCTGCTTCGCTTTCATCGTGAAGTAAAATCTGCAAAGATTCGTTGAAAGACCGATCCTCGCATTTCTGTTGGGGTAAAACGCCAAAGCCGCGGATACTTTTGTTGAAATAACTATTCAAATCAAAAGCTTTCTCATCCATGAGAGTTTCGTCGTCGACATTTTCGGCTTTTCGAAACAAAGTGTCTCCGTTTGCTTTCAAAACCCAGAGAGAGACGTCTCGTGTATCAAACGAAATGTACAGGAATGCAGAATTACGTTCTTTGCTCACAATCTCTTCAATCCCAAACCATGATCTCAGATCAGCTGAGATGTGATTTTCAACGGAAAAGTTTCGTTCCATTAGGTCTGCCAGACATCTAGCCCGTCGAAGCTCCTCAACATAAAGTGCCTTTTGAGGATTTCCAGCAGTACAGAGCAGTATTCTGAATATCTCGAAAGGCACAGCTCCAACCGTTTCTAGAAGACTGTGTTTAAAATCTTCATTTTCCCGGTGAAAATTCCGCAATGTTTCATATTTAGCGATACTTTGATAAAGATAAAAAAATGCTTCCGGGGAATTTGACTGCTGTATCCTCAAAACCGATAAACTGAGCAGGGTGTAAAACTCGTTCAATATGTCTCCAATCTCGCAGTTTATCGCGAGAGCTTTTCCAAGGTATTCGTTGGCTTTTTCATATTCTCCAAGCATAAGAAAGACTTTTCCCAGCTCTTGGCAATTTTTTGCCACGATTTCTCTACTGACGTGTTTTCTGCTGATAGCAAGTTGTTTCTCATAATATTCTTTAGCCCTTTGATAGTCATGAAGTTTTTCAAATACTGTGCCTAAGATATTCAAAGCTTTTGCATGACATTCTCGGTCACCGATTTCTGTAGCGATAGAAAGAGCTTTTTCACCATATTCCTTTGCGTCTCGACATTTTCCAAGCTCACAAAGTGTCAATCCAAGGCCCACGTAACAACAGAGGTGTCCTTTTTTATTGCCAGTTTCTGCGTAGATGGCAAGTGCTTTCTCGTAATATTCTTTAGCCTTATGAAATTTACCAAAAGGTAGCAACAGAGATCCTAGGTTAAGGTAGTCGTTTCCTTCTCCTCCCTTGTCACCAATTTCTATGTGGATGGCGAGTGCTCTCTCGGAATATTCTTTAGCCTTCTGATAGTTACCGAGTTGGCGTAGCAATTTTTGTAAGCTTCGGCAGATCCATGCCTCCCCACTCTTTTCACCAATTTTTATGGAGATGGCAAGTGCTTTCTTGAGATATTCCTTAGCCTTCTGATATTCACCGAGTGAGGTTAACACATTTCCCAGGGTTACGTAGTTGGCTGCTTCTCCTCTCTTATAACCATTTTCCAGGGTTGCGCAGTTGGCTGCTTCTCCTCTCTTATAACCATTTTCCATGCTGAGGGCAAGTGCTTTCTCGCAATATTCTTTAGCCTTCTGATATTCACCGAGTAAGTATAACACAAATCCTAGGTTTTCGTAGCTGCTTTCTTGTCCTCTCTTATCATTAATTTGCATGCTGATGCCAAGTGCTTTCTCGTAACATTCTTTAGCCTTCTGATATTCATCGAGTGAGCTTAACACAGTTCCTAGGTTTCTGCAGTTCGAAGCTTGTTCATGCTTATCACCAATTTCCGTACTGATGGCAAGTGCTTTCTCGTAATATTCTTTAGCCTTCTGATGTTCATCGAGTGAGTGTAACACATTTCCTAGGTTTCTGCAGGTCACTACCTGTACAGTCTTATCACCAGTTTCCATGCTGATGGCAAGTGCTTTCTCGTAATATTCTTTAGCCTTCTGACAATCACCGAGTGGTTGTAACACAGTTCCCAGGCTTATGCAGGTCCAGGCCAGTGCATCCTCATCTCCAATTTCTATGATGATTGCAAGTGCTTTCTCGAAATATTCTTTAGCCTTCTGAAGTTCACCGAGTGAGCATGACACAGTTCCTAGGTTTCCGTAGCTTCCTGCTTCTCCTCTCTTGTCACCAATTTCCATGTTGATTGCAAGTACTTTCTCGAAATATTCTTTAGCCTTCTGATATTCATAAAGTGATTCCAAAAGATCTCCTGCAGCAAAGTAACCAAGGGCCTCTAATTTTCTTTCTCCAGTTGCTTTCATGATTCCGATTGCCCTCTCATAAAGTTTTTTTGCTTCTTTAAACTTTCTTTGCCTGCTGTTTATCATTGCTAGTGTTAGCATAAAGAACCCTTCTCCTTTTGTGTCACCAAAGTCATGGGACATGGAGAGAAGTTTTCTGGCGTATCTTTCTGCGTTTGCGTCATCAGACATGTCGGAATATGCATGTAACAATGTTAAATTGCTCTTTGCATAAAACGTTCTGGGGATCCGATCTTCCATACCCATTGCCGAGTTGTTCAATAAAAGCAAGCATTCCTCGCATAACTTAATTGCCTGTAGATTACGTTTAGTCTTTTGAAGAAACTCGGCAACAACAATACCTATATGGATAGTTTGTATGACTTTATCCATCTTCTTCATTACGGCTCTCTCGCGTGTGTGTCCGAGGAGGGCCCCTATGTGAAAAGTTTGAGAAAGAATTGAGTTACAAGAATTTGAAGAGATTGTTTTAGTTCAAGTATTTTCTCACCTTTTCACCCAAAAGGTTGTGATGTACATAAATAAGTAACAATTAATGAAAAGATGTGATGTACACTGAAAGTATCATAATCTATAGAGGCGTACGAAGATCCCTCAAAAGGCAGTTTAATTAAAGGAATAAGTAATAAATTGTCTAAAATATAAATGTTTCTTAACAGAACATATCAGAAAAAATGCATTATAAATTGTACTTACCTCAAACTACTCTAAATATCGCTGGAAAATAAAAATATTTGAGCATTAACTACACAGAACCATCAGTTACGGACTATATATCTTTAGAGACATGAACATGCCGTACTAAGCGACCGATGAAACCGAAGGAAAAAAATGAAATGATACCTGTCCTACATAAAAAATATTACAAAAATCTGAACACCAAACAAAATATAACCCTGACCGATTAAAAACAGAACTAAAAAATTCTCGGTTGAACAAAAGATTCAGGAACTCGATCGCAAGATTAAAGGAGTCATGACACGCTCCCGGTAGGACACATAAAGCTAAATTTGTGTTCATTATTCTACCTTTCTTAGCAGTTCTTGAATTTTTGTACTAGTATGCACGTTTGTGAAATGCCTGCTGTATTTGTCAAGCTAATTTATTTTTCTGTAGCGCAAGAACTATAAGGACCTGTCAATACATTTTCAATCTGATTTCGGCAATCGAACGTTCTTCAAATTTGAAACGACGAAAGAGAATGTAAAATGGCGAGAAAGGGTCACACCGTCAAGCCGGTTCTCATCACCTTTGTTAGATTTTCTTTTCACACTGTATTGAGAATATGCTTGCTAATCACTTGGGCGTAAAATAGCAATTTTTTTATATCTTGAAGCTTTTAATCATCGATGTAATTCTTTTGCAGTATCATTTGTACATGATCCCACCTAAAATTATGAAAGTATCTATATTTGTATCAGTTGAAGTAGGCCCATAAATAGGCACTTAAATTAGATCATGAAATTTGGAAATTAATTGTACATAAAACATTTGAAAGATGTCACGAATGAGAAATCGTGCGTACCTTCAGACTCCTGTGAAATATTTTTTCAGCACCAAAATTCTTTTTTCACGCAAACCAATGAAATCGCGACCGCTGAAAAATGAAAACAAAGTTAGCATTAATTATGCAGAACCAACTCAAAGGCACATGTTTGATCTTTGGAGACCTGAGCAGGCCGCATTTAGTTTTTTGATGCTATGACTGGAGAAATCGAAAGAAGAATAATTTTAGCGATACTTTTCATACAAAGAGAATATAATGCAGAATTCTAAAGACTGGATAGAATATGCTTGTTAATCACTATGGGAGTGAAATAGCTATTTTTTATATCTTGGAGTGCTTAATCATCGGTGTTATTCTTTTGCGGTATAATTTGTACATGGTCACACCTAAAATTATAAAATTCTCTATATTTGCATCAGTTGACGTGGGCCTGTAAATGGCCAGTGAAAATAGAGCATTAAATTTGTATATTTATTATCTTAACTTATCTTGATATTGTAAAATTGGATAGAAATTGTTCACATGTTTTAAAAAACATATCATGAAAGAGAGATCGTAAGTACCCTCAAACTCCTGTCAGTGAAAACTCTTTCTTCACGCAAACCAATCAAATTGCAACCACAGGAAAATTATGCAGAACCATCTCAAAAGCACATGTTTTATCTTTGGAGAAATGAGCAAGCCGCATTTAGGTTTTTGACTGCTATGATTGGAGAAACCGAAGGAAAAATAATTTCAGCGATACTTTCCATACCAAGAAAATATAATGCAGGTATCTAAGGAGTGGATAGATAATAAACCTTACCTGCTTAAAACAGAAACAAGAAATTGAGGGTTGTCACTGTGAATTACTGGGGTTTTATTTTGCATCCTTTCCGAGAAAAAATGTTTTCAAAAAGAACTTTTGCTTTTGGCGTATAACATGCTAATTTTGTGCTTTTTACACTTCAGATTTGCACCCCTTAAATAAAAATGATGAGTCACGTAGCCGTCTAATTTTAACGCTGGATAAGACGATGAAGAAAATGAAATATTGAATCGATCACGGTTCCACTGAAGCGAAGAAAATCTTCTTTAAGGTTTTAAAGGCTTCACAACCTTATTAAAAGATGTCAAATCTAAATCTAATAATCTTTTCTCAAGGACAAGAACAGAATGAGAAATAGCCTCGCCATACCAATCAGCCTAGATTTCTCATTTTTCATGTTTGGTTTTTAAGAATTTCGCTGGAGTTATCATTTATTTCACATGATGCGTTTTCTGCACAATATTTTGAGCTTTGCAAATGTTTTGTCACTAATTTCTAATATTTTTGGACTCAAGTTTGTTTCGATTCGACTCTCCTTTAGATGCCTGCCACTATAGCCGATTAAATCCACCTTACAAACGACAGTTGTGAATTACTCACAGTTTATTTAACAAATGTTTCGCTTAGTTCGACTAAAAATCAGCTTTAAGCTTCGCAACATTTATTGCTCGAGTTTAACCTCAGAATCTAGGAGTAAAATGTGGTTTCGCGTCTTAACTGCTCTTTAAGCTTGAGTGTTTTAATTCTCACTTACAGCTACTGGACAACTCCTTGTCAAACATTAAGGAGAATTTGGTATAATCTCACCGTTACCCTTTAAAGGTGATATGATGAGCTATTCTTATTCGTTGGGTATTTTGTGAAAATCGTAAATATAATTTATTTTTTTATCATAAATGCTAATGAGAGAGTCGCTCTATTTGTAATATCTTTCATTGTGGCATTTCATCAAGGATGCAATTCCAGCGAAGTGTCATCAAAACATGTTCACAAATAAAAGTTTCACTCTTTAGAACTTCGTCACTGAAAGAATCTATTTTTCACCAATTGACCTGTAGAAAGGAATCCTATTTTGATATCTTACAACTGTAATAACCATTAGCGGAAAATATGCAAGACCTGATTATGTATAACAAATGATACTTACCCTCAGACTCCTCTAGAACTTTTCCCACACTAAGGCTTCAAACTACAACCAATGGAAAATGAAACAAGAAAATATTAGTTATGCAGAGTCATCATTTATATTTGAGGACGTGCCGGTGTATTTTAAATGTCCTGATCGTGTGACTGGCAGCAAAACGAATTGCTTGACAATGAAATAAATCGTTAGGCGCAAAATAACTAAAATATCTATGATGAGAAGACAGAAAGAACTCTAACGAATTATCATGAAAAAGACTCGACCTTTATTCTACATTATTATTTACCACCGGAAGAAAGTCGTTAAGTTACAGTGGTCATCTCTTTTTTTTAAACAGTATTCGCTCTCGGGTTAAATTTGTCGGCCACGCGTGACACTTGGTACACTCTTTGATAACAACTCGATTGTGTTAATGTGGGGTGACAAATCACAAGAATATGTTGGTATAAAACGTAATTAAATTAAATAAAACTGAAATGAAAGCTGACGTGTTGTCGTTGAAAAATCTGCTACTTCACGCCACATTTAGCAAGAACTCCGACCTCTGTTAATCGAATCTGATTCTGTGCGATTAAATAAAACGGTAAAAACTCCTTTGAATGAAGCCTGAGATTAAACAAAATAATGCTACTCAGCTGGGCTTCGAAGATTTGAAATAATTTGGATATATCAACAAAGTTGAAATGGTAAATTGGCCACCGTAACGATTACAAAAGCTGACGTTTCGAGCGTTAGCCCTTCGTCGGAACGAAGGGCTAACGCTCGAAACGTCAGCTTTTGTAATCGTTACGGTGGCCAATTTACCATTTCAACTTTGTTGATATATCCAAATTATTTCGTTACTCCCACCGACGCAGCCCCAAACAGTTTCTTTCGAAACTATCAGCCTTTATTCATTGGTAACTTTAAAGTTGCGTATCCGCTATATCAGTCGGTATAGAACTGCAATCACAGCGCAGTTTGTCGGATTAGAGTGTTCCGTTCAGTTAGACAATGGAACAGGCCAATCGTAAATTAAACCAAATCTTTTTTATACAAATTATTAGAGTAGAGCCGTGGAATCCGAGCGTTTGGTGTCTTTATTGAGCCTTTTGCATTCAAGCCCGGATTGGTAATTCTCTTCTTCGGCTGCAGTACTCTCCTTTCGAAATATTAGAGATATTATATGTAAATTAACTCTTGGAGCTAAATTCAGTACATTTGTCGTGGCACAATAGTTCTTACGTCTTTCCATTAGAGCTGAAAATCATCATATAGCATTTGAGTTACAAGAACAAAGCTATTGAAATAATGTTTTCGGCTTGTCTTTGAAAAGGTAACTGTAAAAGGCAGTCGGAGAAATTGAAGTATATATTATAACGCTGGAGTGACACCAAACATAATATGTAACGTATTATGACTTATAAATCGTACTTACTTTAAAATCCTCAAACACTTTTTTTCGCAAGTAAATCACACCACGTCCGGTAGGAGATGAAACCAAGTTTGATTTGTCTTTGAGTTAGACATTTGGGAGTTTTGGAGGCAGAAAGATTTCGTTGTGTTTTTATGCTATGACTAACGAGACTGAAAGCTAGAAAATGAAATGATATTTTCTGCATAACAATTGTAATGCTCTTATCTACAGTAGGAGAAAAATAAACCTGATCGATAAATCAGAAAACAAATGGTCATCTAACCAAAGTTTATTGGACTTAATTGTTGGACTATAAACTCAAAATCATTCTAAAAGGTGAGGTCTTTTTTTCATAAATGTTTCTTTTTGGGGTAATTTTAAAACAGCGGCTATCATGATTCTAAAGATGACAGTATTATATCATAATATATATTTTTATTCATAAAATGAAACATTTCTCTTCTCGACTTACTCATATGACTTATGGAACTTAGTTCATGCACTTTTTTCTATAGCCTTTCATCTC